GCAGTGTTGTGCATGGCCAGACCAGCTGTTACCTCTGCAGAACATGAAGTCCTTCCTTGCCCTCCCCTTGTCCTTCAAACATAACAAAATGGAAATGCAGAAGCAAGAAGATAAGCTGCTGCGGTAATGTTTCCTCACTGGCAGCAAGACAGGGTGAAGCAACAGGATATATGAAGGGTTTTCAGTGACATGAAGAGTAAAGTTCTGGACTATTTTCCTTCAGTTTAATCTCTGCCACCTGCCAGGAGGCTCCTCTGTCTTTGAGCCTGAGAAGGCCCCATTTTGTTCAGTTCAGTTGGATCACTGCATTTAAATATGTGTGTAAAATAACAACAAAACCCCATCTGCATGAAACCAAATTTGATATTCTCACCCTCTCTTAACGTGATCCCATGAATTTCTTGCATTGTTGTGTCCCATGTACTAAGGGTCCCATGCAGAGAGCAGACAATAACGCAGCGAGAAGACAGATGCTCTGCTAATGGGAAACCAAGGAGAAGAGAGTCTGTGAGGGATTACAGGCTGCCTGGGGTTGGAATACATTATTAGCATAGCACCCAATTCAGAAATTAGTTTTCAGAATTAAATGCCTGAAGCATTTTGGCAAAAAAATCCTGATCATCCCTCTCAGAAGTCCTTAAAGCATAAAAGAGTAGGAATCTGGAGTGTAGGCTGAGCAATCGCATTCAGTGACTTTGCAATGCTGTTAACAGTGAATTGTAGTTTTTACGGCTTCATACCATTACCAGGGCAGCAACTGCCACACCTACTGAAATGTAACCCACTTGATCTGCTTGCACAAACCTTTAGCAGGTTTTGAACATCCTCATCAAAGAAGAAAACGGGCCTGAATGAGATTCCAGGGTCTGTTTCCAGGAGGAAGGTTTTGTTTTGTTGAGCGCGTAACAGCAGGGAAGGGCATCAGCCTCTCCTTGGGCACGGTTAGGCATGCGAAGGAGAAGAAGCGACATGTCTTTTCAAAGATCTGACATTGCCTAAGGTAGAAACTTTGGGTCCTGAAGCCTTTTTCAGACATGCTATTTTCTGAGTGGTTTTTTTTTTTTTTGCTTTTGAAAATCACGATGAGAACATCAAGCTATAAAAGACCCTGGGTAGACAACCAAGATGGGTTACAGGACTGAGGGCAGACAGGAGAAATTGTTTCTCATAGTACTTGGTGGGATTATCCTCCATGCATAATTGTTCATTATATGCTCAAAATTCATTGTTAATTTCTTTTGGATATATTGCATATCAGACAGAAGAGTTATAAACCCCGAGATTATCCCAGGAGGACACTAACAGGCCTAAATATTCAGGACAGAAGGGGACTTGTTTTCCTCTTACATTGAAACAAAGAGTCTTGGACAGAATCATTAGAGATTTTTTTGCCCATTTGATAATCAAAGTATAGTGGACAGCAAACAAAAGAAAAGTTCAGCCAGCCAAGTCTTCTACTTTATTTTTACTCTTCTAGTCTAACATAGTTAACATATTTCTCAAGGTTTATTTAGTTTCCCAGAGTCTTATTTTATATAAGTATCATTGAGGAGCTTGACTACAAAGTCTGGATTCATGCACGTAAAGTGAGATTTTATTATCCTGGGAGAGAAGTCAAGGACAAGATAAATATGGGGGGAAACAGTTGAGACCAAACTGAGAAATCAGGAAAAATAATACACCAGCTCTTCAACGTGCACTTGTTTTATTTGCATCCTGGTAACTAGCATCTTATTTCTGAGCCACAGAAGTGAGAGTAAAGGGTAGCACTTTACTTTCAGCTTTGAATTTCAGATCTGTTCTTTGTATAACAACTTCTTTCAGTGTTTTTATATCTGCCTCATGTGTGTCTATAATGAATATTTGGGAAAGTTCAAAATTATGCTTCTTATTGTCTTGGGTACAGACTGTTTGTAAGCTTCTGAACATTTCTGTCTAGTTTGAGATTGGTCTACATTTACATCATCTTACTGGTCTGCCAACGTGGTTTTTTTCAAGCCCAGTACTGCTTACATCCCAAATGAAATTGTACGTAGGAAATACCACATGTACAGGAAGCATAACTGTGACTTAACTTCTCCACTAGTGTCTTGCCTATCAGCCTGTATTACTTTACTGCTTCACCTCAATCTGTTTTCCACAACTCCAGATTGTGAGGAAGGGCTAGTGTGTGCAAAAGCTTTTTCCCCTCAAATTATGTCAGTAATAAAAGAGGCTACAAGTCTGTAGAGCATAACTTCCTCTTGCCGTTACCTAGCTCACAGGCTCTGGAGGACCAATGCTTCTTCACCCAGCCACGCCGGGAACCCGCCATCCGTGAGGCTCTTAGGTGTGCTGACAGATAACAAAGAGGCCACTCTGCCTTTTCTGCAGTCTGAAGTAACTCACAACTTCTCTGTCGTTGCACACGCAAGATTTGTGAAGGTTAATAATAATTGAATGCTTCAGAGATTGCCAGTTTTAATATGTTAAGACTTCTTTTGTAAGCTCTGCTTCTAAAATCGAAAATTTAGCACGACAGCCCCGTTTGAATTCTCAAAGTTAAACTGCAAAGCAGAAGTTGACAGGTGAGCTACAAAAATGTAGAGAAAAATCATTTATTGTTTACCTTTAAACAGCAGCATCCACAGCTGCCATCATGTAGAAAATGGTGCTGCTGGGAGCCAAGGCTGTTACTCTTTTCCAGTCTAAATAGATATAAAGCACCAGCAGGGCTGAATTCAAACTCCTGATCTCACTGAGTCAGGTCTTCAGTTTGTCTGGGATTGATACTGTGCTCAGAAAAGAGTGTAGTGGTAAGGACAGCTCCCCGAGCCCGTGAAGTATTTAATCACTGCTGTTAGACATACTGCTATTTTGCAGTCTTGTTAATTAGGTAATCCAGTTCTGGATGTGTTTGACAAATAACACTTCTCTTGTTAAAAACAAATCATGGTTTTAATTTAATAGGGTTAGTCATATAAAGAGTGATTTTGTGTCAGCAAAACCTTTCTTTCAGACAAACAGTGTAATTTATGACAAACTAGTTAGCAATAAATGACATTAATCTGACCACTATGCCATTCTGTTGCTGGGGAATAATGTTCCCTCTTAATCAATAGCTGGGTAAATTGTCCTTTGCATTCCTTATCAAATGACAGCCAGATGGTACTGGTAAATTCATTCCAGCGGGATTTTAGAATTAGCTGGGTTGTCCTATTGTTAATCCTCTGCTGTCTGCACCACTAGGACCTACCCACCTGTTTCCAGTAACCCTCGAGTTTGCAACCTTAGGAAATAGTCTAGCCAGATGGTTACTCAGATACAGTGCAGCCAAGAAGCATCCTAAGCAGTGAGGCCTTTTTTCTGCATCAGTAAGAAGAAGAAAAAAGCAAAAGGGCAGTATGTTGCAGAAGCAGCCAGTTAGGACTGCCTGCTTCTGTATTTGTTCCTCAACACCCTGGTCTCAAGTGATGAAGTGTCAAAGTTTCTTAAGATTGTATGAGCTGTGTTCCTAGTAAATTTGGAGCTGTGACAGATGCCATACCATCATTTACTGACTTTCTGGGCCCGTCAAAGTGTCTGCAAGACCTTTTCCTTCATAATCACTTTGTTGCATAGCAACAATAATTTTGTCTCCAACCTATTGATCTGAAATAACATGTAATCCCCTCACAGTAATAAAAAGGAAAACATAAGGCAGCTCTAGGCTGGGAACCACTGGCTTTTGAAGTGAGGGGACAGTTAATCTCCGCTAAATCAAGGAGGGGATGGAGCAAGCTGTAAGCTCTGTTGAGATGAGGCTCTGAGGATGCATTAGGTGCCTGAGCCAATTAACCTGTGCTCTGGAAGAAGAGTCCAGTTTACACTCATTGTGGATATTCCCCATTCCCTGTCTTTTATCCTGTGCAACTGAAGTACATGTCAGGTGAGCCTTGCTGCAACCTTAATTGCTGAAATAAGCATCACTGTGCAATACTACACAAAGGAGTGGGCACCCCTTCCCTCTGGCTGGAAAGTGCACATGCAGCACTTGGCTTACATGGAGCTGTAGCAGGTAAGGGTAAAGTTCAGCCACTGCAAATACCAGTTTCAAAATTACATGGCTGGAGTTCTTCAGGCAAACGGCTCTTGCCTGTAGCGTAGTTGTTTGGTAGGTCAGTCGTCTGGCCTGATAACCTTGACATTTTTTGTATACCTCTAAACACAGGACTAAAGAGAGACTTTGGCATCTGAAAGGGGATCTGCTTTGGGGAGGCAAGGACAAAGTTAAGGTCAAAAACACTCAGGCAGGGAACGTAGAGCTTTGGTTCCAAGTGGGCAAAGTATCTCCCTACTGCCGTGCCCCAGGCACCAACCCTGAGCTGCTCTGCCACCAGCCTGCCCAGCATTCCCATTTCCCACTGCAGGCTGGAGCATGGGCTGATGGTTGAGGTTTGTGTCATCTTTCTGAGGGACATTACTGTTGCCCACATTGTGCAGTGAGCCCAAGCTCCTACAACTGGACTTTTAGATTTTTCCCTGCATAAAAAGCTTGGTATCCACAAGACAGCTAAATCCTCCTTGGGCCTGTCTTCGTTTTCCTAGCCTGCCTATAGCACTGAGTGAAATGTAGGTCCAAAATCTGAGGTCAGTAAGCATCTGGTCACTAATTAGAGCAGGAGTCAGGAGGTAAGTCCTATGTTATTTACTTCCCCAACAATAACAACAAAAAGAGTGAATTCAAGCTAATTCCAGCACATCAAACACAAACTCACCAAATAGGCTTCGAAAATAAAAAACTTAAAATAATATTGTTACATTGGAAATCTCAATGTTTGCAGTGGATCAGAAGGCCAAGCTGGTGTCTGAGCATGCTGCAGGAGCAGAGCAAAGGCTTCTGAGTCATTGTCTCCCAAACCTATTGTATAGTTTGCTATCGTATACAGTACTGGCTGGACAATAGTGCAACGTTCAATTAGAAGGTATTTCTGCAGCTAGAGTGGCTACTAATAATCCTTTCTTTTCTGTCATGTGAACAGTATTCAGGTTTTCAGCAAACAGCGGACAAGTGCTTTGTTTGTGGACACCTTATAATGGAAATGGTAAGAGACTTAAATTCCTAACCACGGGGTAGCTTGCTTTTCATGTGCTTTGGGTAGTGCACTGTGGGACATGGTGTTTTTCCCTAGTTGGGCTGTCATTGTGTCTTCCCTGCTGTCAGGGTGATTTTTGAAACTGAGGCAGTCAATAAACAAAAATACCTTCATATTCTATTACTACTAAGTGCAGTAAGTTGGGCTGCTTCTACCTGAGATCATGAGAGGCTGTTCTGCCACATGCCAGGTTGTTGGTTTTTTTTTAAAAGATAAATAGAATTTTAATACTAAAAGGGGAAAATACAGAACAGCTTTTTATGAGAACATGGTAAAGGAAAACAGAGGCTCTACTCTAAGAATAGCAAGAGCTCTGTCAAGGGGATGGAATCTGGGCTAGAGAGAAGGACGTTATCAGTAATCCTGAGGTTTGTAGCCTGCTCTGTGATTTGCTTTATTTACCTTCTGCCACTTGCTCCACATCAGTTAAAATGCATTATTGCCACAGGGATTTGTAGGGAGCCAGTAGTCAGTTACTTTTATAGTAAAAAAAATCAAAGGGCTATGGGGTTTGGGCCAGATACTGCTGGCATCATTTCAGTGGGTGAAAGTGGGAAGAATTTAGTCTGTTCTTCCTAAGCAGAAATTCCCAAACAAAATGAAGTGGCTTGCACATTGAAAAAGTGCATATCATGTAGTATATCTATTTTCCTCTTGTTTTAAAATGTATATGAACCTCGGTATGCCCAATAGAAGTAGCTATTGCCTTGCAAACATGAAGGTTTGGTAGGAGCTGGAACAGAGACTTCACTAACAAGGATTCTGGCTCATATCCTGGCACCACTGGTTGGACGAGGATATTGTTTGTTTTAGCCCAAGAGCAAATTTCTAGAGTTGTGTCATGCTGGGAAGAGGAGGGCTATCCATGCTTTGAGCTGGCCCTTAATTGCAGAATCCCAGGCAAGAGTCCATAATATCTTGTTGGTGGAGCACAGTAGCTGGAAGCTTGTCAGGTGCTTGTCTGTCTCTCTCCCACCAGCAAGTGTGCTCTGACAAAAGGAAACAGCTCTGGGAGCTGCAGGAATAAGCCAGTGTTATTTGCCCAGTTCCTCTGCCCTCAGCAGTAGTGGTGCCAGTGTACAGCTGAGGAGCAGAGAGCTGCAGCCCCACAGGCCTGGGCACAGCTCAGGCTGTTGGTGGCTGAAGGAGGAGCTGCTGTGTGGAAAGGGCTGTCTGCATAACCACACCAGGCTAACGCTCCGTTACGTACCTGCCTAGATAGAAACACCTGTACAGAGATGAGCTCTTTCTGACTAGGAACAGGCTTGCAAAGCAAATGGAGTCTGATGCCACTCACTGAATAGAGAGCTATAGGCTTCATTAGAGGGGAAAAAAGGTTCAATTAAACCGACTTTGTGCACTTTCCCTATGTGCCACTTATTTCCTGTTGATTTTTATTCATAGAATTACCTACTTGGCCGTGAGAGCTTGACCCATGGAGATTTTTCATCTCCATCTTATTAGCAGCTCCAAGCTGAGCACTGCTGCTAGCAGAAACTTCTTGAAATTACCTTCCAGAAGTATTTCTTATACCTAAAACGTATGCAACTGGTGCTATAACCTGAGAGCTGCCTGAAGATACCATGTCTCACTCTTCCCAGAAGCTTGCTCATGGGCTTGGTACATCCTCCTTGATGTCCCAGCGCCACACTGAGCATTACATGCGAGGACAGCAGGAGGGAGGGGATCTCTTCTGTAGCAGTGTAGCTCAGGCTGCATCAGGCCTTTCCACGAAGCCTTTAAAATGCATGGGAAAAGCTTGGGCAGATGGATGGATCTGTATCCAAAAACATGGACACATACAGAACTTTGACAGAAAGCGATGGGCCCCTACATCTGAGTCATAACCAGTCAGTAACTGGGGTGGATTAGGATCCTTAATTAATAAAGGGACACTTATATTTCCTTGTTTTGTTACTTTATTTTTCAAGTTTGAATAGTGACTGGTTTGGATTCTGTCTGTCACATCCTGTTAAGTTTTGTGAATTAACTCTGTATCCCAGTAACTTCTATTTGGCTGCAACAGATTTTCCAAGAAGCGGTCTCTGAAGCCGTTTTTAATTTCTTCTGGCAGCATTGGCCCTGCAGAGCTAAGACTGATGGGCGTTTGCCTGATTTTCAGAGTTCTCTCTCTTTATTGGGAGCCTACTGAAACCCGCTGAAATAAGCAAGTTGATTGTTTTAAAAGGCCCCTTGCTGACAGATCTGCAGAGTGGTAATTTCATCCTGAAGTGCTTTTCTCACTGTCATTATTAAGAATCAGACACAGCAGTATATGGGGGGGGGGGGGGGAATCATGCATCCACTTACTTTGCTGTTTGCTTCTTAAGATTTTACAGGCCCTTGGAAAGTCCTACCATCCTGGCTGCTTCCGCTGCGTGGTGTGTAACGAGTGTTTGGATGGAGTCCCTTTCACTGTAGATGTGGAGAACAATATTTACTGTGTCAAAGACTACCATACGTAAGTATGCAACGCCATTGCATGCTTGGAAAAATTGTAGTAGTTAAATTATTGGTATAGTTATAAGCCTTGTAGTAGATAAAAAGAGTCATTCCTGTTTGCTCAGATGTCCCTCAAGTGCTGCTATCACATGTTGCATTTTTAAAGTATTTTAAAGTTATATTAAAGGTCACTTCATGGGCCCAGTGTGGCATACAGTGGCCATTTGAGGTTGAGAATCAAGTTGTGTCAGAGGTTGTATTTCTTTGGTGGCTGTTTCTCTGCTTCTTTCAGGACTTGCAATACTAATTAGATCAGAATAATTCTGCAAGTGATGGTAGGTTCTGCTGTTTCCAAGAGTCATGGTTCTGGTAATGCATGACACTGGTGAGCATAAATTAGGTTAACCTGGACTGGACCGTAGACATGTAATTAGCAGCTCTTACTAGAATGATTTTAGCCTCACCAGATAAGAAGTTCTGTGGTTTAAGTGATTGCTTTTGGACTCCTTTCTGCTCCTGCTCAAAGGCAATGTGAACACTCTTAACTCCAGTCAATCAATTACTCAGCTTATGCAGCAAGAGTAAATCCCTCTGAACTCAGCCCTGTTGGTGCCAAGTTGACAGTGTTACAAGGAGAGTGAATACTGGCCCAGTGATTGTCAGAAAATGCTGCTATGGGTAATAAGACCAGTGGATACATTTGGTTTAAGTAGGTCCTGGCCCCAATCAGCCCTTCTCCTGTTTAGCATGGTTATGTCTTCCTGACGTCAGATGGTGACAGTCCCCAAGTCAGGAGCTGCTTTGCAGTCACAGCAGTGAGTCTCTGGGAGAATTTGAATGGCTTGATGAGTAAAGGAAGGTGAGAGAAAGGGCATCTGTGGGAAGAGGGCTGGATTTATTGTGCCTAGAGGTCAGAAAGATGTAAGCAATAAAGCTGGGGTAGATCAGACTCTTCCAAATCTTTTCCCTGAATATCATCAAACATTTGGAGATGTTTCAAATCCTTTGGATCTACATTTTGCTAAAAAACAAGGCAGGGTTAGAATAGGTCCCTTGGTTCTACTTTTTGAAGAAGCTTTACATGTGATTTGAACACTTTCTTTTTGCACCCTAGGGTTTTTGCACCAAAATGTGCTTCCTGTAACCAGCCAATCCTACCAGCACAGGTACGTGTTAACATGCACTGACTCAGTAGAGATAACAGCTGTTGGCATATGAACACTTTCTAAAAACACATTAGATGCTTTTCCTCCCTCTTCCAGAATCTATACTATGTCAGATAGTAACTTAAATACAGTTCAGCAGTAATGTCACTCCCAAACATTCCCAGAGGTTGTAATAGTCATCCTACTTATGCAGCATAGTACTTTGTATCTTTAGGGTGCTTTCCAGGTCTTAATTAGGCTGTCATAAATCTCATTTAATTGAAAGCCCTGACTGGGGCTCCAAGAACAACCCAAGAAGTAAAGCCCTGTTTATTTTTAGACCTTTCCATTAGCTCAAGTAGCAATTTTCCTGGTCTGCTACGTTTGCATTTCTGATGTGGATCTGTTAAGATGCCCAAACTTGAAAAGACATCTGAGGGTTACCCTGACCCTGTGGAAAGGCCACACAGTCTGTCGTCCTGGGGGTGGCAATGTAATGAAAGTGCTTAAAGGGGTGGAAAAGGCAGCAGAAGGGTTGGCTAAAAGGGAAGCCAGGTGAATGACTTGCTTGCAACCCCAGCCTACTCTGACAGTATAGTTAGCACGGGAAGACTTCTGTGTTAAGACATCCCTTTTCTGCCTGCCCGCAGTGGTGCTCCCTCATACTCTGATGGGTGCAGGACCCTCTGAGTTCCCATTGCTGAGGTCACCAGCCAGCTTATTTGTAAGTGAGGGCCTCAGCACCTCCCTCGTTTTCCTCTTGTCACATTTATAGAGCCAGAGCTCGCATCCTATAAGCTGCTGTGCCCCAGTAAAGCCTGTGGCTAAGCCTCTCAGCATGCCCACCTCCATCACTCTACACGTTGCTCTCCATTTGTCATTATTCTTTTCTGTTAAATGGCCAAGTCTCACATAATTAAACTTTATAAAGGCTGAGCCAGAGCTGCTTGTCCTGGTGATGGGATGTGAGGAGGAAAGCCCTATGTAAATTTCACTAGATATATGTCTTATGAAATGACTTAAAAAAATAAAGGGCGGGGGGGGGAAAGAAGAGCAGTCCTACTGCTGACTCATGTGATGGCTACCAGGATAGATTCCACATTCTTTCCCATGGAGGTTTCTTAGGCTAGTTCAAGTCTAGTAGTGCAGGTACTAACTTGCCCACAGCTTCTCTCAGACATAGTCTACGTCATATCTGATGCTCTAACCACACCTGGAACTGTAAACAATGTTAAGGCAAAAAATTTAATGAGCTCTGTCTTCAGAAGCTTCAGAGTGGATCAGGGAAGGAGTCTGTGAGGTTACAAGAAGGGTATGGGCTGCTCTGCAGGGCCTGGGGCTCAGCCAGGAATTACACAACTGCAGTGCATCCACCCTCATGCTGAGGTTGTGGCCTGTGCACTTAATTACCTGCTGGACTGGTATGTGAATCCCTATGGGGTTTGCAGTGACATGTGCATGTGCAAAATAGCTGTGCAGCAGATGGTGTGAGGGGAGCACAAGTCCTGGAAAACTCAGGCCAGGATGTCTACAAGGAAAAGTTACCCTACCAGCAGGTCATGGTAATTTGTTCAGATCCTGGGTGCCCTTGGAAAAATTATTTGATTTCAAGACTAATTTGTCCCTTGAGGATGAAGTTCTAGCTGCACTTCCCAAATGACTTCTACAGCTTAGATATGTCAGACACCCAGGCTGCTGATGAACAGCAAAACCAGCAGTGCAGTGCTGCGCACCAGGGGACAAGACCCTTAGCGGTCACAGAGCTCTGCTCTGCAGAGGACACGGGCATCCCCCAGGGAAACAGCTCTCCAAAGCAATAGCTTGGGCACTTCAAGGAGACTGAGAAAACACCACTTACAAGGCCACTCTTACCTCCTCTCTGCTTCCCCAACAGGGCTCTGAGGAGACCATTCGAGTGGTGTCAATGGACAAGGACTACCACGTGGAGTGCTACCACTGCGAGGTAAGCATCGGGCAGCACTGCCAGCACCCCGTGGCCAGGCTCTGTTAATAACTCACAGCCTCTGGGCAGTGCCTGACTCGCACCGCAGGCTGCACTTACTGGCTCTTGCACACCTGGGCAGGTAGGGCTCTGCTCCAGGGCTCCTGGAGGGAGGCAAAGGGATGAGCACTAGCTGGGCTGCAAGTGGTGCTGCCACCTCCAGTACCAAATTATTTGTTTATTTTCCCCAGTATATTAACTTCAGAAGCTGGATTTGGTTGTTTGGGTTGAATTTTCTCAGTACTTCCAGAGGGGGAGATAACAAAGAGTAGGTGCTGGTTCTCTTTTTCCTGTCTCTGGGTACAGCTTACATGGCTCTGATCTGAGGAGACTTCAATTCACATTGCCTGTGCAGGGAAGGACCTTCACTCCTACCCTGGAAGGCTTTTCTAGAGGATCTGTATTTTGTCTGTGCTAAATGAATGTTGATTCTTTACTAGAAGAGAGAGGGGTACCACTGACTTTCTGTCACTGTTTGGGGAGTAGTTTACACAGAATCACAGAATGTTAGGGATTGGAAGGGACCTCAAAAGATCATCTAGTCCAATTTTGTGCAGAACATTTAAACATTTATTGGGGCAGATCAAGTTGTGGGATTAGTGCTCTCACTTCAGAGAGGAGAGCTGAGTCCAGTCCTAGCTGTGCATCTGGGAGCATGAGGAGAGAAACAAACTCTTTAATTTGAGATCATCCCAAAACTCTCCTTTTGCTGTAGATCTGGCGCTCTGATAGACCGTGCAAACATCTGCACAGATCCTAACTGTGCTACCTAACTGTCTTAGCACCAGAGGCAAAAAGTGCAGCAATACTATCTTCCATGCACTTTTGCCCAAAGGTTTTACAAAGAGACTTTGATTGAGGGCAAAAATAAGAAAATTCATGGCATCTTGAAACTTATGTGAACCTAAACGTAAGGAAGACCCCCATCTACTCAGCTGTCTCCTTCCAACAGAGATACCTGAAACTCCGTTCTTTTCTATTAATTTTTAAAGATAACTTGGCACAGGAAATTCAGCATTTTGGAGAGTTGTACTGCCCTCCTCCTTCTTCCCCCATCTATTGCTTTGTGCAGGCTTCACCTAAGGTGACAGCTCCCTCCCCTTCTCTCTCAGGCTATTGACTTTATATTAGAATGTCCCAATGGGGGTTTATTTTCAGTTCTGTTTCATTATTCATTTCCCCATTCTCCTTCCAGTTTGAGGCAAATCAAGCTTCCTCCACATCTGCCCAGAAGGGCAGAGTGCATTTATGTACAGAAATCAGGGGGTTAGCCGTGTGGTAACGGGGGTAGGTTACTGCCTCAGGGTCTCAGTTCAGGCTCTCAAACTGTACGTGCTGGGTCACTGCTGTCTCCAAATACTGCTAGAAAAGTTAGTGCCAGTATTTTGAGGTATCCACATGGAGACTTTGCAAAGGCTATGACAACTTACGCAGCCACTTCTGAAATGCTGTTTATGTCACCATCACCTGGTGGCCATGCAAAGTCAGGAGTCAGTTTGGAAACTTTGCTGCTTTTCTGTATCGTCTCTGTCTTGTGCAACCACTTAACTTCTGCTGAGAGGTTCAAGCCAGTTTACAGATCAGTAGACACCCATTCTAAAACTGAAATCCACTGAGGAGGCAGGTTTTCTCATTGCAGAAAAGGAATACAATTTTGTAGCAGGAAAGAGGTGTAAACACTTGGCACATCTGTAGGGTATCTGAAATTGTTAAATTCTAATGAGGAATTCAGTTTTAAGTATTAGATAAAGGACTGTAAAGTTATTATATAACATATGGTAACACACAGAAAACTACCTTGGCAGAAACTTTGATTAAAGCCTCTCTAAACTAACACTCCAGTTTTAAAGCTTATTTTAAAAGCCATTTTTTAATTCTTATTTCAGCAGTGTACATTTTGAGGATTTTAACCTGAGTGATGAAAGATGAAAAATTATATTTTGTGTCCAATTAAAAATTTGCATCAGTTTTCAATACTAAAATGACCTATATGCCTAACTTGTTCAGTTTTTTTTTTTAACCTTTCTATTAAGTGTGCAGGTACATATTCAGAATATCTGGTTTTTCAGGACTTGTCACAGTACCAGTTTTTCAGTATTTAACATACTTGAACCATCAAATCGAAGCACAAAACTGCAACGACTTTCAAATGTCCTCAAAATTATAATTACGACAACTGAAAGCCAAGATTGTCTCTTTTGCAGTGTACACAAGTGTACACTGCAGTGTCAGCAGGCGGGGTCATTGTTTGTTGTTTTTCTTTTGTTCACCCCTGTCAGCCCTGTACTTATGTGCCAGTCCCAGAGGTACTAACATACTTCCACTAAGATGGACCATTGGCCTTGAAGTCTCTATTTCTTTTTTATTTCAAATTAGAGAAAGTGTAGCCCTGCTCCAATAGTAAAACATGTCTCATCTCCCTCTCTTCCTCCTTCCTCTCATTCTCTACTTATACTCCCCCATTTTTTGCTCACTGCCTTGTTGCAGAACTAGCTCCTTCTCTGTTCTAACCTCTTCCAGGTTGTGTGTGTCAGGGTCAGTCCTTGGCCTGGTTTTGTCTGATTTGCATCAACATGTATTAGATGAAGAAGAGACCAGAATGGGAAACAATATGGGTATTACTATAGACTATCCTGTTCGATTTCAGTGATGTCATTTTGCTTAATATGAGATAGTCAGGGGCCACCTACCAAAAACTCTGGAGGTTGCTGGCTTTGGAGGCATGGGAGGGAGCCCTCAGGGTTATGCGGGAGAGATCAATGTTTTTGTGAGATGACCTACCTGAATCACTCACTAATCTGGGTTGTATATGCTTCTTCCAGGATTGTGGCTTGCAGCTCAATGATGAGGAAGGCCATCGCTGTTACCCATTAGAGGGCCACTTGCTCTGCCATGGCTGTCATATCAGGCGCCTTAATATTAAACTGCCGTCACATCCACCTCCGAGCTATCCAATGCATGTCACAGAACTCTGAAAGACATTTTCATTGTCAATAAGCCGTTTGAAAGAGAAGACAAAAATCTAAAAATGACTTTCCTGTTCCTTTAAAGATGAGATTCCAGTAATAACCATCTAAACCAGCTATTTATTTTTTAAATCAGAGGTGAGGGGTCCTTTTCTGATCTTGTACATATGCATTCTTTTATCTAGACATTTTCACTGAGACACCGTCTACTTGAACAAATAATTCACCACTAGACTGTAACTGTAAAGAGCAGCATTTCTAAAAACAATGGTACAAAAAAGGGCTGTGCTGCACTCCCTACTCACTCTCCTTCAGTGGAGATTTCACCCAAGTAAGGAGTGCAGAATTACTTTCCAAAAGTTAGCACCTTATCATATTGCAGCAAGCGTGGTAAGATAGATAAATGATAGCATTTTAGCTAGTTTTGTTGAATTCTGGTCTTGGAGAATATGGTCTCACATTTTTAAAACTTAGATTCCCAGAAGTAGTGAATAGGAAGCAAACAAGTGTTTCTATTAGCAATGACAGTTTTCAGTATGGGTTAAATAATGTCATTCTGTGAAGAAGCATCAGGCCAGCTTTCCATCCTAGAAGGTTCCAGAGTAATCCAAAGACTATTTAGCTTGTTAGAGAACTATGGCAAGCATCTCCTAAAAACCACAGTACAGAGGAATATATCCAAAAGATTGGCACATGGGGGTCATCACAGTAGAATAAAGTTACAGACCTCTTGTAATTGCTTACCGTGTGCAAATGTAGCCATGGTTTCAAAATGCATTCATATCAGCTTGATTTGGCACTTACTGAAGAACTCATCCCTTAAACCTGTTTTTTTTTTGTTTAATAGGGTTAGCAGCCCCTTTCTATGCAAAGGTACACTTGTCTTTATACTGCTTGTTTTATACAAGACTTAATTTGTTACCATTGTTTATGATTGTATGTTGATACATTATTAAAGAGGGGGACAGTGGTTTTTGTATTATCTTTTCAGCTTTGTGTTCTTTTCTAGATGTACTTTTGAACTGATTCCGGTGATTGTCTCAATTGGAAAACAAAGTACAGTTGGCAGAAAAAATAATTTAGCGAGTCAGACCATTGAAACGTTGGTATTTTATAACAAGTATTAGATGTACATAGAATGCACACACTTTCATATTTTGCATAAGCTTTTACAGTAACCTCAGAGCTCTGGGGAAATATGTGTCTTCCATATAGGAAGTTAGATGAATCTTTTTTATGGTTTGTTTTCTACCATGTGTTGATGATTTACGTGCAAGTCACACATCTGTATGTTTAAAAAAATTCCTTGCATTCTCATGAGAATTGATCCAGCCTTCCTGAATTTATATTTTAAATAAATCCATCATTGCTGTCTTTAACTGTATCCAAAATGACAACAAAATAAAATTTGTCTGCTCCAGAGGAAGCGGAAATACCAGACCAGATTCTCCACATGTGTAAATTGGGACATTTCCATGCCAGTTCTCAACATGTCAAGAATCTGACCCATCCATTTGGGAATGATCCCAGGTTAAATTCAGCATGCAGACTGATGAAATGACTTGACTTATTTGGCAACACCATTGCAGTTTAGTTTCTTATGGTCCACTGATTTTTTCAAAGCCATTTGTGGCGCTCTTGAAAAGTACAAAGAGCATCCAATGGACACTAATTCCTAAGTGGAATAATTAATTCCCCTAACAGAACTTTTTGATAGTCTGGAATTTCCTTATGGGGGGGAGAATGGGGGCAGGAAAAATTCCTGTGAACTATTTTCTTTCTATAAGTAAGGAGCAAAAGGTATGTTTCCCAAACTTTTGCCAAGCTTCCGTTGGCCTAGATTAACCTGTCCTACTGAATGCTCCTTGGCAAAGCCTTTAAAAAGTCATTGTCTAATTTATATATAAAGTTTATAATTGACATATTTAATGTGCTAGCCATGTTTTGAAGGAATTACAGTGCAACTAGTGCCCTGATTCTACAGTGTGACCTAAGATGCCTGGCCTGCAAAAGAAAGGACATTGGGTGAACGCACTTCTTTTGTATTTGCAAACGTTACCTCGGTGTCCGCAGTCACCAGCCCAGCCTCAGAGGAAGGGGATCGTATGTGTGCCCCTCACCCAAACAGTAAATGCTAGAAAAGGGGGAAGGGGGGGAGAAGTCTTAAATTGGATTGTATGACTAGGTCAGTTCCTTAAGGTTATTACAAACATGAAAGATACCAGAGCTTCAGGATAAACTTTTAGCATCAGCTGCAATGTAATACCTTTTCCATTTAAGGAAGCTGCTTTGGACCACATTTAGCTTTTACTTGCTTGTCTTTACAAGATGTATTAAGGAACCCAAATTAAGAAAACAATCATTAAAACACACAGAGAAGGTTTGGGTCTGTTCCTATGAGCAAGTCATCCCATAACTGTACTTGCTGTACTGGAAAAGTGCTTTACTCTCCCCATATAGAAGCAGAACCTTCGAAATCAGAGTGGCCAGAGATGGTGGTGACTTACTCTGGCGTTCAGACCAGCCTTCTGCCAGTGCCTTCCTTAGCACTTTGCCTCCTTCAGTGGCAAGTTTAAGTTCCCATTCCAACATCCTTTCCAAGGAACAGCACGCTATCTTACACGTACAGGCCACACCTTTTCTTCTCTTTTTTTTTTTTTTTTGAAAACAAGCATACTGTAGAACAGAATAATATTTAACTTCATTTCACATGTTAATTTGTCAGTCTCTTGTAGTTCTACTCAGTTCCAATGTGTTAAGTATCATCTTGATAAAAATATCAAAAGGTAATATTTCAATATAGAAGAAGCAATTTGTTTAAAACCAGAAAGCAGCAGTTGTTGTTCCAGTACTTTCTATAGACAGGTGCATTCCATTACTGGATAATGAAGTACAGCTTTGCTTTTACAGCATTTAGTATAAAAACTGGAGCTTGAGTGAAATTTGCCAGGTTTTTTGGTTTTTGGTGGGATTTTTTTTCAATCAAAAAAAAATAAAAGCAAATCTCAAATAATTATGTGCTGTACTCTTTAGTGCTAATGCCAGTTTCTGTACATTGTACCTCCTGTCTGGGGAATTATGTAAATGAGAAAGCTTCTTTTAATTATTTTCTTAAGGAGTATTCTTATGTTAAATCAGATCAACACAGTTGTAAACTTTCTAGAGTTCATTTTACACTATGACAATTCTTCAGAAGCCCTTGCTGTACTTTGAAAATATTTCCATAAAGTGAAAACAATAACAACTTGTTCTCATTTGCATCAGGACTACACCTCTCCGTTTCGGTAAGGAATCTTACACAGTCCCTGCAGCACAGCGCTGTTGTGGGCGATTCAGAGTCCCTCGTGCTCTGGAGGACGTGTTCCAAAGAAAGGACCAAAATAGTAATTTGAAAACAAAACAGAAGAACGCACTCAGATAATTGAGCTTTCAATAAGCGTTTGTTTGGGTTTCTTTCCTTTTCCTTTCACTTGTGTGCACGTGTTTGTGTGTATATATTTTGTAAGGTGGAGCTTCAAAAGGAAAACATGGTTAGAGGAGCTCTTTAAGACCAGAAATTCCAGAGTAGTTAAGTAAACCAAAGCTCTAAAGGAGACAAAAGCTGCTTTCTTGTGTTTCAAGAAAAATTTAAAAGTTTGTGATTCATCCTGTAACTAATGCCGTAACTAGAGTATATAATTTGACTTAAATTAAGTTTTCATTTGAGAAATATTTTCATTTTCTTTAAAAGAATATAGTTTTCTTCCAAGAACTTGGACCAACGTTGATTTTTATTTTGTAGGAAATATATAAATTCCCAGTTTGTATATCATGTAACTAGTTTACATGCTGAAAATATACATTAGTTTAACTATTTTTGTATATATATCCTTGTAAAACTTTTCAATGTGCTTCTGTCTTTTAGTCTTTAGAATTACTTGTGGTTTTGTGTTTCAGTGTTTGATTCCCTTGATTGTTGAAGATAAAAATTGGGAAATGTAGATTTATTTATCTAAAGAAGAAGCTACTTGCTATCGTTCTAAGTTATTTAATATTAAAGTCAGAAGTTTCATTTAACCTTAGATGCTATAATCTGCTTTTTTCAATAAAGACATTTTGTAGTTATCTTTGATTTTGTAGTTTGTTACATATAAGTATTTTATTTATTATTTTAATCTAGGTGGGCACTAAAACAATTTTCAGGAGACCCTTGTATTGCCTACAGAAATGCCTAACTGGTATTAATTGATTGCAGCCACATTCATGAAAGATTTTGATCCTCCAGTGCAAGTGTTACTAATTAAGGTCTAAAATGCCCACAGCTAACATTTTGCAGCTGCACTTAGGAAAGAATTTAGCCACTCTGGCAATTTTTAATTAAGCTTTAACCAGTCTGGCTAGTTCACATGTAGGACAGGCAGTATTGAGGAACACTTCCTTTTCAAGACTCCCATTATTTTTGGAGTGTTCCAGAAGATAAGTACTTGCCTGGGCTATGAACTTGCGTAGCCTTTAGCACTTGGACCTTGGTTTGGGGAGTTTTCTCAATTTCTTTGCTAAGTCACAGTAATTCAGAAACCATGGCCAAAGCTCTGATAGGATCAAAAATATAGTTTTTTTAATATATTTTACCTTTCTGAAGCTCTTTGCCACTTTCTTGTCTCCAGCTTCATGGCACAGCTGGGAGCTTGGTCACATTTACCTTCTGCACACAGTGGTCCTGCAAGAGCAGCTGTGTCTGTCAGGTAAGAGGTTCGTCAGTGCTGGTCTCTTGTCTCCAACTGAGGCCAAAAGTGGATGCCTGGGGAAAGAATACAAGAACCAGTTTCTTCCTGGTTTCCTCATATTCAGTGGGTTTCCTTTCCATTAAGCTGGTCAGTCTACCATCACTGTGGATGTTCTTTTCCTCCAGTGACTCACAGAAGCTGCTACCTCAGTGTGATGCCACCCTCTCCTCCAAAGAGGCCTGCTCTGCAGCTCTGCCACCCTGGCTTTGCAAAATACAAATTACTTCACATTTGGAAATTAAACTTACTGGTGGTTTTCACACAATGGCTATTTTGGCAATTTTTTCTTTTGCACGGTCAGAACAGAAAGAGTTACAAATGCCACAATTGTTTTAGGGACACAGTCTGCACTTCTGTGCTTTGGGACAGATGTACCACACTTCTGTAGGACCTTCACATACATGCTATTTTCTCCCTCAAATAATTTTTCAAAAATCATTCAAAATGAGCAATTCA